TACTTGGTATGGACTTCATGGTCCCAGCCGGGATCCGCCTGGATCTATCTCATGGATCAATCAGCTTTCCCGATGAAGTCCAGATCCAGCTCAGCGGAAGATAGCGACAAAGCAAAGATCGTAAATGTCAGTCAATACCTTCGGGTCCAAGCAGGAGAGTCGGAGGATCTGCCATGACGCCTGAGATCGTCGACCCACGACAAGCTGTGGGTCACACGCGGGAATCAATGGGTGCCCACAATATTCGATGGGCCAGAGAGGACGAAGTACATCTCGATCACCAACGTCAGGGACGAGGTGTTGACCCTGCATCAAGACCAACCGATCGGGATCTGGCTGGCCTGCCGCGGCTACCGGGTTTCATCTCGATCGGGTCTCGTCGTTACATGGAGTGGTAGAACCTAGCGTTAGAGGCCACGACAGACGCTCGATCCGAAGATATGGAGATCAAGATCCCGCTCGTACCCGCAGTGGAGCGATCCGAGTACGAAACGCCGCGCGAAATACCCCAGAGACCGAAGATGACGTCGATCCAGTGTTGGAAGGTTTAGGCGAGTCAGGATCAAGGTATTCCTGACTGCCTACCTTTGGACAAATCGCCGTCGGAGATTCGACCGTTGGATCTAGCGTCTGTCGCAAGTGAGGAGTCAGATCTGTCGTCTATCGTAGATGGAGGCTCTATATCACATGTCGTAACGGTCAAGGAGACGCTAGAAGTTCTCTATCAAGTAACGCCAGACATGGGGGCGACTAATTCGTCGTTAGAAGAAACTACAAGTGCAGTAGAGGCACGAGAAGAAGTGGGTTGAGATGGAACTGGGGGCCACAAACCAGGATCAACTACATTCGAGAGGTCAGGATCAAGGAACATCACCGTCGAAATGTGGTGGATCTGATCCGTCATCAATGATGAGTGTACAGTCTGGGACGGGGCATGTGACCAGTGATCCGTTGAACGACAAGTGCGTCGCGTCTATGTCGCAAAAACGGACGTGGACCACCTGCTGTTGAAGATCAACCATGCGCGTCGGATCTGGACCTCACCTGGGCCTCAGATTAAGATTAAGATTATGATGAATGTGTATACTACCCTGAAGGGAGTGATCTTTACGCGGAAGATGTCGACGGTCAGATGGCGGTACTGTCTGAAGTGCCCGTGACGACGGAAGATGTGAAAATCGAGGACATTCATCTATGTGGAACTGATAATCAGACCCCAGAAAAAATTGGTCGACTTCGTCAAAGGATCTGGAAGTTCCGGCACCTCTTGATCGGCAAAGGTAATGCCCTGCCGCCGGCAACTCCAGAGGAAATCGAGCGACTTCGCCAAAAGATCAGGAAGTTCCGACATTTCTTGATCGGTAAGGGAAATGCCCTTCCGCCGGCAGCAAGAGGCGTGGTGTGCGATATCAATGTCGGGGGAGCGAGACCCATCGCACACAAGTGCCGTAAGTTGCGGATCCAGTTCAGGGAGAAGCTGGCAGACCTGATCAAGGGTCTATTGTCTGCCAAGATGATCAATTATTACAGATCACCATGGGCCTCCCCAATCGTGGTGATGCAACAAGAAGAACAGAGTGGATATCAGGTTGCTCATCGATTATCGGTTGGTTAACAGTCTATCTCAACTGATAAGCCTCGGATCAATGATTTACTCGAAGATCTGGAGTCGACGCTCTGGTACTGCTCGTTGAATATGGCGAGTAGATTTTGGGTAGTGAAAATGACGGATCGTGCTCGTTTGATCTCAGTTTTTGTCACTCCCTTTGGACTATTTGAGTGGGATCGAATGCCTTTCGGCTTGAAGAATGCGCCCCGGATCTATCAACGTACGATCGATAACGCGTTATATGGATTCACCCGGGTCCCGAAGTCTGAAGATCATGGAAGCACTTTGGATGTGTTTGAGGACGGGGAATCGGTGGATCCAGGCAAGCCATCGGTGCTTGGGCGTAGATCATACATCGATGATATCCTGATCCCGGCCAATAACTGGGATCAGCTATGTGATCGCGTTGAGGGTTTACTCGAAGCGTGCGATTAGTGGAATCTATCAATCCGTGTGGTTAAGAGTTTCTGGGGAATGCCTAAGGTGGAATATCTTGGTTATAAGGTATCCTGCAAACTGGAGGCGAATCCGAAGGATCTGTCGACATTGACTGATCTGGCATTTCCAGGATCACTTAGAGCCATGCAGTCGTTTTTGGGGAGTCTGAACTACTACAGCCGATTTATCGAAGACTACGCGATCTACGCGTCAGTTCTGTATGAATTGCGAGAAACCGACTTCATCACGATGATGAAGGACACCTGCCAAGTACGAATCCAACAAGTGCTAGAGGCAGAGAGTGTGGATCCAGGATCACAGGAGGATCAGGCGATCGACCACCAAAAGACTCTGGATCTGGAGATGCAAGATCTCACTGGAGTGGATCCACGTTGGATCCACGCCTATCGATCATTCAGCGTGCTTAAGTCCAAGATCGCCACTACTCCGATCTTACGACACTTTGATCCAGATCGAAGTGCTACGGTTGTGGTGTATGCTAGTGACTGGGCCATTTCGGGATCGTTGATGCAGGAGTACGACAAGATCTACTAGCCCGTGATCTTTGCGAGCCGTCCCGTGAAGTCAAATGAGCTGAATTATGGCATCGCGGAGAAGGAGGTACTGGTCTTGCTGAGGATCCTGGATCTTAACTACAATGCCTTGGTCGGACGTCCGATCCATGTGCTGACCCGACACTCTACTTTGGCGTGGCTCTTCAGATCCACAGCCTTGCAGGGCCGGTTTGGTCAGTGGATTGCTCTACTGTCGCCGTGGACTCTCATCACTAAGTGTGTCAAAACTGAAGATGAGATCCTGGGAGCATTGGCGGCGAGCATTTCGCCTAGATCCCAGGTGGATAAGGCGTTGAACCTGATTGCCCCTAAAATGAAACCACGGCGCAAGATCCAGGCTCCGATCCCCACTATTGGACGCGACGAGGATCTATACGCCGTTAGTTTCGATGGATCCGCTCGTGTGTCAAGAGAGGTGGGGGGGGCGCCTATAGCGCGAGCTTGCGGATATTGCCTGAATGGAGGGTGTTAAAGGCTAGATCTGGATACGCTGAATATCTGACAGTGAACAAGGCAGAATATCATGGGTTATTGTTGTGTCTGGAGCTGTTGGAAGATCTGGATCCACGACGTCTGGTGATCTGTGGAGACTTGAACTTGGTGATCCGACAAGGACGAGGTGAGATCAATTGTAAGGCACCGGGTTTGACACTGCTGCGCTAGAGGGCTCTGGATCGAATACGTACTTGGCCGGATCACGAGCTGTTGTATGTTAAACGAGAGTGGAATGGGAGCTCAGCAAGTGCTGCTCTGCAACGACAATGTGGGATTGAGGTTGAGTCTGAAAAAGGAGATCCAGGATCTAGTGACCTTGAACCGGTTGGATAAGATCCTGGTAGTGAGGATAGAAGACGAGATCACACAGATATCTGCTGTAACGACCCGATCTAAGGCTAAATCTGGTGTGCGTATTGGGTCTGATCCAGATTCACTGGGTGAGGACGTTGTGAGAGAATTGCGGATTGAGCGGATCCGGCAAGCGCAGGACGAGGAGTCGTGGATCTCCGGCCTAAAAAAATATTTGGTTGAAGAAATCCGGGATCTGACACAAGAGGATGCTAAAGTGTTTGGATCTATCACAATGAATTATGAAGTGGATCAGTCGGATCTACTCTTCTACTGCCCGACAACTAAATAGGCCGTTTCGGATGGAGACAAGTTGATGCGATTGGTGGTGCTTGAGACTCTTCAACAGGACATTTGGCATCACTACCACACGAGCTTGTAGAGTGGCCATCAAGGTATCGGTCGTACCTATGATCGAATCCGCGATCGTTTTCATTGGTGAGGCTGTATAAGAATGTACAGTGATATGTGGGAGAATGTGTTGATTGTGAAACGGGTAAAGGACGACCTCGGATCCAGGGTGAGTCACCTGGTAACGTTCAGGAACATACCCGTTCCTGATCATCGCCATGGATCACATACCTTCGTTGCCTAGATCCTTCAATGGCAACACAGAGTTGTTGATCGTCGTAGATCTATTCTCTGGTTATGTGATCGCCAAGGCCAGCGCCTCTAGATCTGCACAAAAAATCGCTGAGGCTTACGAAGAATGCGTTTTCCGCAGATTTGGTGCGAGCGAGGTGATCCGGAGCGGGTTTTATGTCTGACTTCTTCAAATCCTTCAACAAGATCTTGGGTCAATCCCAACGTGCTACTGTGGCTTACCGGCCCCAAGCTAATAGATCCGCAGAGCGTATGGTCCAGACGGCCACCAGGGCTCTTAAGATTTACGTGCAGGACCTGGATCAACGCGATTGGGGTGAGTATGCGGAGCGGCTCACCTTCGCGATCAACACCG